ATCAAGGATTTTTATTTGATTACTGAAGACTTCTTACTGCTAAAGCCAGGGTTTCTACCTTTGTTCTCTCATACCTAAAGCTGGACTTCATTTGGCAAAACAAAATAGAGACAAAGAATGTCATCCACCTTATACATTCCATATAGAGGGCATATCATGGACAAAAGCACAGATGAGGAAAAGGCAGATGTCTAGCAATGGCTAGAGGAAACATGCATTTGAGAAAAGGTCCCTCCTTGTTCAGTTTTCTCAGCAATTCCAGGTGAGTCATTTCACTGTGTCACATTTCCTGGAAGAGCTGTATACGTATCTGTACTATATCCATCATTAGACTTCAAGTTCCTAGGGACCAAGGACCACATTTTACTCATCTATTAATATCTTCCCTAGTCCCTGGTCTGGCACATGTCAATTGTTCAATAAATAGTTATTATATAAGGTCAGACGGGAAAAGCAACAAAGAAGTACAATGTGGTGGTTGAGTGGCTAAGTTGTGATGCTATACATCTGACTTAGAATCCCAACTCTACTAACATACCAACTGTGAGATCTTTAGCTAGTCAATTATACTCTCTAGTTTAAACTTTGATTCTCTTCATCTGTAAAAAGGGAAGTTAGTAGTACCAACTTTATGTTTCAAAGATGAGCTAATGCATATAAAACCAGTAGTGCACTGCTGGCTGAAGAGAAGCTATGCTTATTCTGAGACATCAGTAGCAAACTTTAAATAGTCAGATGGCAAATAGTTCAGTCTTTGAAGACTGCAAAGCTTCTGTTACAACCAATCAACTCTGTAGCTCTAATGGAGTAATAGCCATCAGTAATATAAAAACTAATAGACATAACTGTGTTCCAACAAAACCTTTTTTACAATATTGGGGGCAGGCCACATGAGGCTTACTAGTCATAGTTTGTTGACACTTTTTGTAAAGTGTCTAAATTTGAATTATTAAGAAGTAGAGCCTGCCAGATATTCTTGAACTTGACAGTAACAAAATCTAAGTGATCCTTTGGGCAACTGAATTTTTAGCAGCATGGAGTACAGTCTACAGTGACTCAAATCTGGAGACGAGTTATTACAGTTGTCCAAGCACAAGGTAGGGGGGATCTGAACTCTAAGTAATGATATGAGCCAGGCAGGATAAAATGTCACATTCAACACCATGCCTCTGACATGCCAAGTTATGGTTATTATTTGATGGTCCATTTTTATTATTCTATGATGTCTCAGTCTTAGGTAGATCTCCAATTATGCAATAAATTATAAGCGTGGCCTAGAGAATCTCTGGAGAACTAATTAGCTAAAGATAAAAATTGAAATGTAATTATTTATATGATCCTTAAGCAGATGACTAGTTTGAGTTTGAGATTCACATACTTAAACCATTCTCAACTCTAGGAAATGACTTCCATTTTTCATGTAAAGCATTAAAAATCTGTCAGAAGCAATGATTTAAACAGTTGTACTACAGACAGGTGTTAATTATGTGAAATGATCATGACTATTCAATACAGCCATCATTTCCTTTACTTTGTGTCTTCTAACTTTTCTCTGGTTTTAGATTTCATATTGGTCCTTTCCTTTTACATTCCAAAGCACAACATGCTCTAACCAGATCAGCTAAAAGTACAGGGTTAAATGTGCTATGGCCAATTAAGTCAGTGGAGCTACATCCTACAATCCCATCTATATTTTTGGAGATGGGTGCCTTAAACCTGGATATCTATTTTCCAAGGTGAATTCTATAAGCACATTACCCTGAACACAGAAAGGGCACAATACACACTGTTCATAGCACAGGTCCAGAAACAAAAGTCACTTTATATAAATTGGGTTAATCAGGTAAAGTACAACTTCCGTCAAGAATGTTTTCATAGTTTGACATTACAAACTGGTAATAATCAGAGATGGCCTACTACAGAATTTAAAAATAAAAGGATTTTTGAAAAGTAATGTCCTATTCAATCTATTACAAATTAATTAGTATAAATATCTACCCATACCCAATTACAATGACTAATGCATTACTATTATAGCTTGCATAAATGCATTATATTTTCTAGACACCTATAAAAAGAAATATGTGATACTACTCTTCAAGCAGCTCCTAGGAAACTAGCCTGTTCTTAACTGCTATATATTTCAGTTTGTATAGCAACAAAATAATAATAATAAAAGCTCACTAAATCAAAGAAAACTTTCTCTTTATAAAAGAATTCCAGGCCTATATTTCCTAAATAGTGTCCCCCTATCTGTTACATATTCCACATGGCCAAAAACATTTAGAAACTACTACATGTGATGTAGTTCCCTTTTGGAGGAGACAGTTGGAAAAACATATTCATAATGCACATCACAATGTTAGAAAACTAACCCTGACTATACAGTACATCTAGATTTTGAAATGTTCATGTATAAAGGAAGAAACAGTATCTGTAGAATCAAAGAAAGAAGGTAGTTAACTATGTATTAGATGGTCAGGAAAGTCATGACGCATTTTTGCATAGAAAGCCATAGAAAAATATGTCATGGTTTTTGACCTAGTAGCTTTAGGAAAACCATCTAAGCCTCAGCTTTTATTTTCCTTTTCCTTTTCTCTCTCTCTCTCTCTCTTTTTTTTTTTTTTAAGTGATAATACTAATAATGCCTGCTCTGTAGGGTTACTTGTGGAGATTTGGAAGATTAGTAATCTAGTATCTAAGTATTGTGGGTCAGCTAGGCCTTAACTTAATGTCCTTAAGCAGACAATTTGCTACTAAAATGGTTGAGCAAGGAAAGTCAGGGTGAGGAGAAAATAATGATCAGAAGGTCCTTTGAGTCCTAAGAAATTTCAGCCTTCCTCAAAATTTCTTAGGCCTCTTTCCTATGCTCTATTCTTGTTAGTACTTAAATTACTCTCTACCATTCTACATATTTTACTTATATCTTGTTGCTATCTATGAAAGCAGGATTCTGTCTGTTTGGTAAATTTACGTATTTCTAGTGCCTAGAACATTTTCCTGGCACCTAACAGGTGGGTATTCAATAATATTTGCCGAAGAAATTAGTAACGAATAATGAAGAATCTCCTCCCTATATAACTGTAAGTCATTTAGTCTAGTTTTCCTTAAGATAAAAGTAACCAACTAAGGAAAAGAGTTCTCCAAAATCCCACTCTTTTCTTTCCTGAGTCTACAGGCTTCAGGGCTGGAGAATGATTCTTTTTGAAAAAAAGAATTTAGGGGACTATGCAGGAATTGCAGAGTGAAACCAAATATGGGACAGAGAGAAGAAGAGAATAGGTAAATTTCCCCATATTTTGGATTTTTTTTTAAGTCAGGATTACATCTAAGAAAAAGAATCAGAGTATTCAAAAAAATCATGTTAACTAAATTTCTACAACCTAATTATGTCTGTGTTTTGTTCTACCTGTTCCCCTTTAAAGCAATACATTCAGAGATAAACCAAAAAGGTGACAGTCAAGTAATAGAAAATATTGGGTACTATATCCTGAAGCAAAATAAAAATCCTAAGAAATAGTGAAAATAAAGCATTTTAAAAAGAAAAAAAAAAAAAAAAAGAGAGAAATTCCACTGGTAAATTGGGATCTCAGAGGGAAGACTTGACAAGAACTTTCTGAGCATAAGGGCAGCTTAGTGATAGCACTAAGAAAAGGCCGGCATTGAGACACTGCAAGATATGGCCAAAACCAAAGAACATCCAAGCTGTGACTGAAAAAGTGGCACCACCATCATCTTCTCCCTCTCATCTCCTAGTCCAAGCAGTTACTTAATCTGGTATTTATACTTTAGTGATACTGTCAAATCAAGCTTTTCTTTCTAATCCCTGCCGCCAGTATTCTAACTCAAGGCCTCATCATTTTCCCATAGGCACATGTAACTACCATGATACTCTGACTTCAAATTTACCTCCCACCCATCGAGATTTCCATAGTCACCACAGCAGATTGGACTCTACTATCTGGTGTAAAACACATTGGAGGCTCCTCTCAGGCTTTCTGAGTGATGTCCATTCAAGATCTATTTTCTTTTTCTTTCTCTCTCTCTCTTTTTATTGGCAAAAGGCATGTGCTTTCAACAGAGACACACATACAGAGAGAGAGAGAGAGAGAGAGAGAGAGAGGAATAAAGGGAGAGGGATAAAGCAGTCAAAACAATCCCCTCTCTTCCATTTCTCGGGATTTGTGGTACCCATCTTTTTTTTTGGAGAGATTTTTGCTATAGGGCGCGTGCGCTCGCCAGACAGACAGAGAGAGACATAGAGACAGAAAGTGAAGAAAGCGAGTAATCTCCCCCCGGGGGGGATGGTCACGCCGCAATCCCTTCTTCTCCATTCTCCTCTTGGGATCTTGGGCACGCATGCACACGCGCCCGGCGTGAGTTTTAAGCCACCGGGTCCGGGACGCGAACCGCGGTCAACTACGTGGGAGTCCAGCGACATAGCCATTACACTAACTGCTGGTTCCCTGTGGTACCCATCTTCACATGCGCCACATGTTTTTCAAGATTCTAGGATCAGGACTTGAACTATATGGTCAGCCATGTGAGATCCTGCTCCCTGAACCAGTTGGCTACAGGATGGCCCTCAAGGTGTATTTTCAAACCCTTCTTTAATGATGCTCACAAATACTCACAATAAGGCCTGAGGGAGAATTCCGTAAGTACAGAGACCTCACATATATAGACTTGTTGGGAAGACTAAATAAGAACCATACATATAAAACATACCTAGCATATAATAAGCACTCAAAAATGAGCAGTTATCACTGTTGTCTTTGTGACCACATACAAGAGGCTCTGTTCCCTTAGCCACAATCATCTTAAATTATGGATAATAACTCCTTCCCTCCTCACTCATCACCTTGAGATGAGAAAGAGCTTAAGTAATTGGAGAAGGATAAATCTCTGGGCAAACTCATTATTACGATGATGGGATAATGTTGTGCCATTTTCTTTGTGAGTCTTTCTTATAATAAGTTTATCCTCTAATGTCACGTTACCTTTGCTGATGTTTCAAACCATCCCACGAAACCATGCTCCTTGCAGAACTGGTCCATCTTGAGGCCATTGTTCAAGAGTACATCCTTCCCCTGATCACATTTGTTGGCCAACAAAACCACTGAAACTGGTTTGCCATTAGGGAGAGTTAACTTTGAGTCCAAATCGTTTTTCCACTTTGCCACTGCTTCAAATGTGGCTGGCCTGGTGACATCAAAGACAATAAATGCACCCATAGCTTCTCGGTAATAGACTCTTGTCATATTTCCAAATCTTTCTTGACCTGTCACCAAAAAGAAATAAAAGTAAAAAGTGTATTACAATGGTAAATCATGCTATATGTTAGATCCCCATGAGGCCTCTAGTCTGAGCAGGTCACTCAGTAAAGTGCTTTACTGCTAATCTTTGAAGAGTGAGGTAAACATGCAGTCTTGCAGCTTTGTTCTTGATGTTTGAGTGCAGCAGAGAATTCACTTATCTAACAAATATTTATTGAGAAACTTCTACATACTATGCAATATTCTAGAATTGAACTATGCAGGATCTCAGTAGCCATGTATGGCTACTTAAATTTAAATTAGTTGAAAATAAAATTTTTAATTCAGCTACTCAGTCACCCTAGCATTTCAAGGGTTTGGTAACCACATGGAACTATTTTAGATGACACCAATATGGAACATATCCTTCATCACAGAATGTGTCATTGGGCAACACAGTTCTAAATGCTTGGGACAATGATTAAAACATGAAAATCCCTGTTGTCATGGAATTTACATTTTAATGAGAAGCTATATTGCAGACAATAAGTATAAAAATTAATTATATAATGGATCGTTGGAAAAGTCATAACATATTGTTCATGTTTTTCTATGTGAAAATGCATCATGACTTTTCCGACAACCAAATAGTATGCTGAAAAGGTATCAACAATCTATTCCAGTCAAAGGTAGCAATAACAGCCAGTCTTCGCTGTAGTTTACTAACTATCAGAAATGTGATTTACATAAAGGATAAGGAAGGTGCAAGTGCTATCTCCATTTTAGAGAGAAAATTGAAAATCTAAGTAATTCATTCAAGTTATATAGATGGTAAGCTTGAGAAATTGGAATCTGATGAATGGAATCGAAGCTTAGGGTCACTTACTAACACTGAATACTCTCAACTTCTAAACTTGCCAGTTTTCTTGTACCATCTTCCTCAGGGTTGCATACCAAGAACACCCACTCAATGCAATTGAACAGATATTTATTGGGCATCTTCTGTATTGATGCCAGTCTCTGAACTCTGGCATCAATAACAGTGGATAAGATAGTCTCTGCCCTTAAGTAGCCTACCATCTATTGAATAAGTCAAGCCTTCTGATGTAATTTTTAAAATGAAGCTATAAGAGGGAGAGGATTGGTTTTGAAATTAGATGGAATCAGCTGGAATCAGTTTTGTTCTTATACTTGATCTTCTAAGTGTGTATTGGCAAATTTCTTAAACACTCTAAGTTTAGACTACCTCACCTGCAAAATGGCAATAATAACATATAACTCATGAGTGAAATAAATTAGCACATATAAAGTACCCAGCACAGTATGTAGTTCCTTAGAACTTGAATTTTTCCTCCCTTCCTTTCTCCAACATGTTAAAAAGGTAAAAGACATTAATGATTTGAGTTCTAATATCAGAGTTCCAGACCAGAGTTTCTGACAAAAAAATTACAGGCATTTCAACTAAATAAGGGAGGTAAACAAAATCCTGTTGCTTTTAACTGTCTATTAGTGGTTGCTGAAGACAAGAGCTAATGAGAACTGTGCTTGTATTTCCTGAATCCTAAACCCCCAAAGTATGTAACTAAACAAAGACATTTTCTTCTCATTTCAGAATGTATTTATGTAGAAGGTTGTATAAAATTTTATAAATTTAAAAAATTAGGTATGTATTTAAAAAGTCAACTTTTCTTGGAAAGAATAAAATACGTGGGGTTGGTCCTGTAGTGCAGTGGTTTAGCAAGTGCTTTGGGACCAGTTCGCACATGGCTGACTGCCATTCAGGTCCCAGCCCTGGTTGCTTTAAAAACAGGCAAGGCATATGTGTGTGCCCCAGATCCTGATGGGATGGAGAAATCAAGGAAAGGGGATTACAGCATGACCACGCTCCATTGGAGAATGCTTTCTCTCTCACGTGCTCTCGGTCAGTTAAAGGGAAAAATATTAAAGTAAGTTACACAGACACATACACACAAAGACTAAAATGCTAAAACTGGGGCATCTAAGAAAAATACAGGTTAGGATATCTCTAAGAACACCTTATATCAATCTTGAGTTGCAAGTTTAGTGAGGATGAGTTTTTGTGCAAGTTAGCAAGCTATTGGGTCATCAGAAAAGTCATGACACATTTTTGCATAGAAAAAAACACCTTATGACTTCTCTAATGACCTATTTTGTAGATTGTTATGTTTACATTGGCATTAGCATTGGGAGTGAAGAAGACAAGTATCCCCAAAAAAGCACTTAGTGAAAATGGGTGAAGTTCAAGTATTCTGGTCAGTGTAAGCCCATGAGTTCAAGTGGGGCTCACTGGGAAGAACATTTCATCAGGGTCAGCACATGACGATCCTAAAATATTTCTTACATGGAATGTACCAGAGAAGCATTTTTTTAAAATTTCCCACACTTGTCTGGTCAATGAAAGAAATAGGTAAAACACTCTTCATATGATATACAACCCACAGATGAACTTTGATTTTTCCCAAATGAGTTTTAAATTTCTTTTTAATGCCAGATGCAAACAGTGATCTCCTTTGATACTGCTCAGGGTGTCTATGACATTTCAGGAAGATAGGGGAAAAAAAGCCTTCTGTGATCATTCAGAACTCTGAAGGCCTCTAGGCTTTTAAAGGATGTCTTATGATCTCTTTCAGGGATCTAATCAGATAAAGGACAAAGTCATGGGTTATTCAATAATCTGCTTGTCCAGAGATTTTCATACTGGAGTAAGGCAACCCTCAAATAAAGAATTTACATTTCAAATATATGCCAAGAGTCATTTTAGGACAATACAAAAAGGCAGGGCTTACACATTCATAGGGATTCAAACACACACACACACACACACACACACACACACACACACACACACGCATGGACACATGGAGGGAGAGAACTTTGTACCTTGAGATCACTGGGCCTACCTACTAAAAGTTCATATTTTTGGCGTTCCAGCAGGGGTCACATCTAGATCGCACTGTTTCCTTCCTTAGTCTTCAAATATATGCCAAGAGTCATTTTAGGACAATACAAAAAGGCAGGGCTTACACATTCATAGGGATTCAAACACACACACACACACACACACACACACACACACACACACACGCATGGACACATGGAGGGAGAGACCTTTGTACCTTGAGATCACTGGGCCTACCTACTAAAAGTTCATATTTTTGGCGTTCCAGCAGGGGTCACATCTAGATCGCACTGTTTCCTTCCTTAGTCAGCTGACAGCTCTCTCCACTGCTTCTTATTAAAGAATGAGAACCATGTGATTCTTGGTGAGAGCCTACTTATGGGCAAAGTAGACACCTGATGAATTTATCATAGGTAAATTTACTTAAAAAAAAAATCACTAACTCAGAAACTGCCTTTGGCATTAGATCATTCACTTTACACACGTACGCTGAATTGCTAATGCAGTCCAGGTTCTGTGCTTCGGGATGCAAACAAATGATTTTTTGCCCATAAAGAACTTCGAAACAAGGGAGTGTTGTGCTGGGTGCAGCACTGAAAACAATCCAGTCTCTTAGCATGGAAACGCTCACTTTGGAGTAGTGTAGATGTGGCTCCTGATGCAGCTTTCAGCTTCAAGGGGTGTTAAATGACAAAGCAGTCAACTAAGTCACAAGAGTTAAAACTCAATGGCTCCAGTAGCAGTTTGGATAAGCTTGTGGTAAAGGACACCAAGGTGAAGGGTCTAATGACCTGGATCTTACTGTTAACTACTACCTATCAGAGCAGCTGTATTTCACTCCCTGAGCCTCAGTTTTCTTATCTGTAAAATGAAGTTGGCATGGTTTATCACCAACGCCCCTTCCTGCTCTGTCTCAGATTAAATCAAGCATTGACCCTCTATCCCAACAGCCTGAAATGGTCCATTGGCTATCAGAGGTACGGTTAAAAACACATAGAGGTGTCACAGCTTTAATGTGCTTTTAATGATTTTTTTTTTCTTTTACATCGTAATTAGTACTGTGTGGATGCTCTCGGTAGGCACAACCAAGCAGTGAATCTTCCAGACAGGCATAAAACCAACAGCAGGAAGCAAGGCAAGTTTCCACTAAACTGTACACACTCTACCATTCGGTCCCTAACCAGCTAGCTCTGTGACCTCAGGTTAATCACTTCACAATCTGTTTCTACACTGACAAAATAAGGACACTAGATTGGATATTCTAAATTATTGCTTCTGTGAACTCCCTGGCCCATATGCAGTCGCTGTTTTCCACCTTGTACTCCTCCTGTGTTCCTCGCTAGAACTCATAGTGTTACCATCAACACTTCCAATGAGAGAGGCACCTTTAAGTCATCTTCCAACTCTGTCCTTACCCCTCACCCATAGGGTCTCCAGCCTCCTACTTACACTTGACCTCTGAAGTGGCTCTTGACCCTGTCCCCTCCTCTCTGTCAGCATTGCCATTGCTCTTGTGCAGCTCCTCGGTGCTCCAATCTAGACCCCTGACAGCTCCCTATCTGGGGTCTCAACTTCTAGGCTGTTGTCACTTCCTTTCTCTCCAGATAGAAATAGAAATGTCAACACAAGTCTTCAGACAGTTGCCATTCTGGATATCACCTTAGATATCTATAGACTATCCACATTCATCAAAGATATCACTGCATTTGTTTTGTGTGGTGCCCCAGAATCTGTATTTTTAAGCACTCCCTAGGTAATATTAAAGTATGACATAGTCTTTAAACGTTAATAGAATTCTCTTCTTCTTCTTAATGATATTTTTGCTATAGGGAACTTGTGGAGAGACAGAGAGTGAGAAACCACTCTCCACGGGGGTATGGTCATGCCACAGTCCCTTCTCCTCCATTCTCCTCTTGGGATCTTGGACACACACACACACACACACACACACACACACACACACACAGAAACTGTCATGAGTTTTAAGCTACTTGATCCAAGACCCAAACCATGGTCGAATATGTGGGTGTCCAGCGACGTAACCATCATGCCATTTGTTGGTCCCCCTAGAATCCACTTCTTTTAAAACGTTTTCTGCTATTTATT